CATCAGTTAGTGGTGGGTTGAGCACTGTAATTATTCCGAGAGTCAGGCTTGTACTTGCTAGGTTCTAAGGGGAATACACAGGACTCCATAATTTTCTAGAGAAAACTTAAAAGATACAAGCTGGAAAGTTCCTCAACTTTCTGATGTCAGTTTTTAACAGCGTCCCGGGGCCAGCAGAACCAGCATTATCTTCGGACTGGGTAAAAATATGGGCTCTCTCAGCTCAGTCCAGGCCTTCTGGAGTCAGGAACTCTCAGGGTGGCAGCCAGCAGTGTCAGTGAATTCAAGAATTAGGCGTGCTGGTTTACAGCTCTCCTTCAGGAGTTGCTCCCTGCCCTGTCAAGGAGTCTCATGCTGTCCAGCTGGCCTCTCTACACCCTTTGGCACAGTCTTCTCCCTTCTTAGCCAGAGATATACTCTCTCTTTTTGTCCTTGACTCTGTCTCCCTCGATGTGCATGTGCACATGGGTGCTTGTGTGTGCGCCCACGTGTGGGTGCATGTATTGTGTGTGTTCGTGTGTGCCTGTGTGTGCCTCTGTGTGTGTGTGTGTGTGTGTGTGTGTGTGTGTGTGTGTGTGTGTGTGTTGGGAATCAATATCAAGCCTAGGTCCTCATGCTTGTATGTGCTCTACCACTGAGATATGTTCTCAGCCAGTCATGTTTTTTTGAAGTTGTTTGCATGTCCCATGTTTCATCCTAAAGGTTATTCTCCACACCTTCTTTCTCCTCCCTCATGGATACCTGGGATGCCCTTGGTGTAAGGTCCAGTGGGCCTTTGTGGTTTCTTATGCATGCTAGGCAAAGCACCACTCCAGTGAGCTGTACCCCCAGACTAACACTGGTGATTTTTAAAAAAAATCTTATTTGATTGATCTCGTTTGATTTATCGCTACAATTTGATACTCAGGAACTTTATGCCCACACTAAGTACTTTTTTCTGCTTTACTTTTTAAACTCCACTCCTCAATGTAGGTTTATGTTGTTTAAGTCATAGCCAGTCTAAACGGATGTCCCTTCTTTATGTATTTATACACATGTAATTGTTTTTCTGTAGGCGTTTGAGGCCCAAGAATGTGAGCGAATCAGCTTCTTCCGGAATGCATTGTGGTTACATGTAAATCAGCTGTCACAGCAATGTGTCACAAATGATGAAGTAAGTCATCGGCATTCACAGAGGGCTGTGCTCTGCAGGTTAGAATCATCAGAGCAGAAAAGAACCATCAGTGTTTATTAGTTCATCCTCTCCCCACTTCCTGCTTCTATTTGAGGTACAGAGAGATAGTGACTTGAGTATTGCTTTCATTTTCCTGATTCCCAGTCCATTTTACCACGGTTACTCTCTAAGTTAGGGGTGGACAACAGATAATGAAACCCAAACACAGTTTTGTGTGTGGAAGACAGATGTCACAGAAGAATGTGAGTCCCAGAGACAGCTCCAGTGTAGAGTGCCATCACTTCCTGCACCAAGTATTAGCAGACTGACCCATGGCAGGTTGATGGTCACCCAGGGTGAGGATTTGCTTTTGTGGCTTCATGGTGCTTGTCCAGAATTAACTTGTGAGCAGCAATAGTAACTGGGTCCCCAGATATCAAAGACACCAGGTGAGGTTGTCACAGCCTTAGCTAAGAAATAGCCCTGATCTTAGGTGGGACATGACTTTAGAAGAATGATCAGATATCCAGGAAACCTATAGAACTGAGAAGAACTTATCCACAAATTAAAGTAGTTGTGTTTGCATTTGTGTGTGGCACTGAGACTTGGTCATGGAACTTGTCTCATGGGGCTTGGCATGTAGTTTCTTTATTCCATCTATACTTAAAAGAAGTAACCAGGGTTTTGGTCTGCCCAGAAAGAAGTATTTCCTTGTATCTTATTTTTTTCATTTAAAAAAGGCAATAGAACAAATGGACTATAAGGGTGCCCTTATGTGAGTTTTGGACTTGGGAATGTCTTCTACTCTTAAAACAAAGTCGAAAAAGAGTTGGTGGCTCATGAAAGTTGAGTGGTGCCATAATTATCATCAATAAACTTCTACATAATGCTTTATCTTGTTTTTGTCAGATGTACGAACAAGTCCGCAAGAGTCTGGAAATGTGCAGCATTGAGAAGGACATCCAGTATTTTGTGAACCAGCGTAAAACTGGACAGACCCCACCCGGTGAGCCG